CAACAGCCCTGCCTTGAGTGTGACAGGGGGCGGTGCCCCAACCCCCCAATCGGCCCTACCCTGAGCGTGACTGAGGGTGGCATTGCAACCTCCCGATCCGCCCTGCTCTGTGAATGATAGGGGGCGGTGCCCCAACTCCCCAATAGGCCCTGCCCTGAGCCCAACCAGGAGCTGCACCTCAGGGATTGGGCCTGCCCTCTGCCACCCGGGAGCAGGCCTAAGCCAGCAGGGTGTTATCTCCGGAGGGGTCCCAGACTGCGAGAGGGCACAGGCCAGGCTGAGGGACCCCCCCTTCCCCCCCTAGTGCACAAATTTTTGTCCACCGGGCCTCTAGTCATTATATAATGCCCTTCCTTGTTTAAAGTTTATTTTGTCTAATATTAGTATTGCTACTCTAGCTTTCTATTCATTTCCGTTTTCATGAAATATTTTCAGTTTCTTCATGATGTGTGTCTTTAGTTCTGAAGTGAGTGTTCAGTAGGCAGCATAGATACGGTTCTTCACTTTTTTTTTTTTAATCCTCAGGATATATTTTTAGTAATTTTAGAGAGAGAGGAAAGGAGAAAGAGAGAGAGAAACATCCACGTGAGAAAGAAACATTGATTGGTTACCTCCCGTACACGTACCATGGGGGATTTAACCTGCAACCTAGGTATGTGTCCTGACCTGGAATTGAACCTGCATTCTTTTGGTAAATGAGATGATGCTTCAACCAACTGAGCCACCCGGCCAGGGCTAATTATATGTGTAAAACTGTGTGTGTGTGTGTGTGTGTGTGTGTGAACATTAATATATTAGAAAAAAGAAGAAAAAGATCTGGAAAGATACACACTGAAGTTTAATATTTTCATCTGTAATTTTCTAATTTTTATTTTTTAATTTATTTGAGAGCGAGGAAGGAAAAGGGAGGGAGGGGGAGAGAGAGAGAGCGAGAGAGAGGAAAACATCAATTAGTTTGCCTCCCACATGCACCTCCACCGGGAATGGAACCCACAACCTGACTGGGAATGAAACCCACAATTCTTTAGTGTACGGGAATGACACTGCAACCGAGCCACCCCGCCCAGGGCTAATTCTTATGTTAAAAATTGTTTCTATAATTTAAAAAGTTTGGTGTTTTTCCTCTCTTATTTTTTTATTGAGGGAAAATTGGTATATAATATTATGTAAGTTTCAGGTGTACATTATAATTTGACATCTGTATACACTACAAAATGATTGCCATCAAAAATCTAGTTACTATCCGTCACCACGCAATTGACCTCTTCACTCATATTGCCCACCCTGAACCTCTTCCAATCTAGTAATCACCAATCCGTTCTCTGTATTTCTGAGATTGAGTTTTTGTTTGGGGTTTTCTTTTAGATTCCACATATAAGTGAAATCATGTGGTATTTGTTTTTCTTCATCTGACTTATTTCACTTGGCATAATACCCTCTAACTCCATTGAGGTTGTTGCAAAGGGCAAGATTTTATTCTTTCCTGTGGCTGAATAATACTTCAGTCTATTTATATACCACATCTTCTTTATCCGTTCATCCATTTATGGACATTAGGTTGCTTCCATATCTTGCCTATTGTAAATACTGTCGCAGTATATGGGGATGAATACCCAGAAGTGGAACAGCTACATCATATGGTAGTTCCCTTCTTAATATTTTGAGGGATCACCAGACTGTTTTCCAAAAATCTTACTATTTTTTAATCATTAAAAGCTTATAAAGTGGTTCTGGTTAGGTTCTCTCCAGCCACGTGTTATAGATGTTGTGAACCTTGGTGGTCCAGCTTTTGGAGCTTCTTAAGTTGTATGATTCAGTGTTTGGGAGGATCAGGTTGGTCCAGAGAATTTCTGGAGGGTCTTAATGCTTGGCACTTTCCTTTCTGTTTGTTGTAGACCCAACACGGTATTTGGGGATGCTTTGGGAACCTCAGACAGCGTGCTATACCACTCCTGGCTAGGATGGAATCAATAGATTCTCCAATCTGCAAACAAATGACCTTTAAAAGGCCACCTGGGGAACAGTGCAGGGCCACGCTCATTCACCTGTTTCCCAGATTCATATGCTGAGATGTTGCCATTATCTCAGTTCCCATGCTCAGGAATCGAGGCGTGGCTTGACTGCATCCTCTGCTCAGGGTCTCACTAAGTTGCAGTCGAGGATTCAGCCAGACTCCATTCTCATCTTCCAAGCTCATTCAGGTTGTTGGCACAATTCAGGTCCTCAGCTTCCAGAGGCTACCTCTCTCTGTAGGAAGCTTCAGCATGGCTGTATATTCCTCCCCAAAAGTTTCTTTTTGAGAAGAATATAAATTTGGTGTAATTGAATACTGTATTTTAAATGATTCCTTGTTTTAGATATTCAAAATTTTTGAGCTGGAAAGAACCAGTTATCAATCTTTTCTAATATTTCCTTCTATCTACCTCCCAGGTTTGTGGATGCAAAAACTGAAAAGCAGAAGTGCTAATGTGCTTTGCTGTAAGGCAGTGGTTCTCAACCTTGGCTGCACATTAGAATCACCTGGGAATCTTTTTAAAATCCTGATTTCTGGGCCCCATCCTCCGGAAATTCTGTTTCTTTGTTACTAATGTTGTGGCCCCACCCCATAACAAAGAAACAGAATTTCTGGAGGATGAGGCCCAGAAATCAGGATTTTAAAAAGATTCCCAGGTGATTCTAATGTGCAACCAAGGTTGAGAACCACTGCTCTAAGGTCATGTAGACTAGCAGAAGATTCATCTGGAGCAGGACATTATCTGAGTATCAGAAAGCAAGGAAGGCTTGAGAACATTGCTAAGAATCTGGTGTGGTTGTGGGGGGTAGAGGAGGGGATAAATGGTGATGTAAGGAGACTTGACTTGGGGTGGTCAACACACAGTATAGTGTACAGGTGATGTGTTGTGGAATTATGCACCTGAAACCTGTATAATTTTGTTAACCAGTATTGCTCTAATAAATTAAAAAATAAAAGGAATCTGATGTATTTTAAAATAGCCTTGTAATTGTTTTAACCCAAGGAACATCTAAAATAATCTTTAAAAATACCTGAAAAAAAAGAAATTTATTAACTCTCTTACAAATGTTTATTAAACACTTACTACTATATCATCCACATTAGGATTTTGAGTGGAATAGAAAATATTCCTAGATTGCAAAGTATATATTGGGATATAAAGGATGAATTAGGATGTATAGGATATGTGAAGTATTATCAGGGATATTTTTCTCAATTTTGACACCTGGGAGACCCGAGGTAGTAATAATGGTAATAGCTAAGATTTATTAGTTACATATCATGTGCTGCACACAGTTCTTTGCATTTTACATTTATTATAACTCTCAAGAACTTTATAAGGTAGGTACTATTGTTATCTGTATTTTATATTGAAGAAATCAAAGCACAAAGAAGCTATGAAAATTGCCTGTTATCTGGCCGGTAAGTGGAAGAGCCACAATTTGAACTTGACCAGACTTACTTCAGAGCCCACAATCTTAACTACTATACTGAGTCTGTAGAAAGATAAAAGCTGTATAGCCATATTTTCTAATACCATGACTCCTTCCTAAATAAGAATTGAGTTGAGGTTAAATATGAACACAAGAAAATTAGTTAAGCATAAAAATAAGGGGCCAAATCATATCTGGCAGTTGATAAGCACAGCTTTAGCAGGTTAAATGGAAAATGGTGCTTTCTATATCATCAATTTTCTTATTGTGTATTATAGCTTAATAGTTACAATATGTGCTTCAGACTGAGACCTGGGTTCAAATTCTGGCTTCACCACTTCCTAGTTTTATGACTTTGGGCAAGTCAGAGGTCAGGAAATTGAAGCAGTTGTTTATTATTGTTGATTTGGATAGCCTGTGGTGATGGCTGCATGTCTTTTCTTTTTTTCCTGATTAGGTGGATTTATTTAAAAAGAGTCTTCTGTTGATTCCTATTCACCTGGAAGTTCACTGGTCTCTCATTACTGTGACACTTTCTAACCGAAATATTTCATTTTATGATTCGCAAGGCATTCATTTTAAGTTTTGTGTAGAGGTAAGTTAATATAATGCCCATTTTTTCCCTTTAGCTTGTGATTGACCAAATATTGTCTTAGCACTAGATACCATGGAGGATCGATTTCTCTCATAAAACCCCTCTGAAATGTTGGCAGAGAAAAGGACTGCAGAGGAGTCTCCACGTGAGGACAGGTGGCTGTCTATAATCTGGATCCTCTGAGATTCATTTGGATTTTATCACATTTTATTATGCCTTTCCCTTAACACTTTATTTTGAATGTGGATAGAAATCGTTCTCTTTAGAGCTGAAATTTGCCTGTATCTTCAAAATAACGTCTTTAGAATGAATTATAACCAAGAAAATCCACTGGCAAATATGAGAGTTCAACAAGACGGGGGGATACAAAGAAAATTCAGTCGGTTTCTTAATTTCTCTGCAACAGCAAGAACCAGTTAGAACATGTGACTGAAAACAGAAAGATTCCATTTTCAAAAGCAACAAAGACATACATTACCCAGGAATATATCCTAGCAAAAAAATGTGGACATTTCTAAAGATGAAAACTAAAGTATTTATAGGGAATCTGAATAGATGGGAAGATAGACACACTCAGTATTGGAAAGAGATCAGTTCTCCCCAAACTAATATATACCAATTTCTGTCCTAGTTTCCCATCAGGATTTTGAAATAAACCCAATAAGCTTGTCATGGAATTCATATTTCAGAATTCACGTGCATGAACAGCTAAAATAGTTTTGAAGTAGAATAGTGAAGGAAGGATTACTTAGTCTACTACATGTCAAACTACATCATAATTTTTTTTCTTTAAATTAAAATTTAAAAATATTTATTGATTTTGGAGGGAGGGAAGGGGAGAGAGAGAGAGAGAGAGAGAGAGAGAGAGAGAGAAAGAAAGAAAGAAACGTTGATTTGTTGTTCCACCCATGTGTGCATTCATTGGTTGATTCTTGTATATGCCCTGACTGGGGATCAAACCTGCAACCTTGGCCTATCAGGATGATGCTCTAACCAACTGAGCTACTCAGCCAGAGCTATGTCATAAAGTTTTAATATGAAAACTATGTTTATATTTATTTAGGAATAGACGAGTAAACTGGTGGTGCAGCATAAAGAATCTAAAAACAACTGATGCATATGTGGAAACTTAGTATATGATAAAGTTGGGAAAGGACAGGTTATTCAGTATATGCCATTGGGAAAATTAGCTGTCTTCTTGGAAAAGTAAAATACAGATCTTTACTTCATACTATTTAGAAAAACAAATTTCAGATGGAATGACCTAAATATAAAACTGTAAAATTTAGAGTAAAATACAGAAAATGTGATGTTCTTAGAGTAGAAAGGCATTCTTAAGCAGAACCAAAAGAGCAAAAGATATAAAGGAACAGATTGATAAATTATAACATCATAATTTAAAACTTCTGTATGCCATAAAGTTAAAAGACAAGGAGTAGACTTGAAGAAAGTGTTTGTGACATATAATAGTCACTGTCCTGAATATATAAAGTACTTCTACAAATGATTAAGAAAAAGAAGGATCTAATAGAAATAGACAAAGGTTAAAATAAGTAATTTTTAGGAAAAATGCAGATAACCATTAAATATATGGAGAGATGCTTGGCCTTACAGGAAATATGGGAAATGCAAATACAGTTCCATTTTTTAAAAAATATATTTTATTGATTTTTTACAGAGAGGAAGAGAGAGAGATAGAGAGTTAGAAACGTCGATGAGAGAGAAACATCGATCAGCTGCCTCCTGCACATCCCCCACTGGGGATATGCCCGCAGCCCAGGTACATGCCCCCGACCGGAATCAAACCTGGGACCCTTCAGTCCGCAGGCCGACGCTCCATCCACTGAGCCAAACCGGTTTCGGCTACAGTTCCATTTTTTGCCTGCTATCTCAGGAAAAATTTAACGGTATTCAGTTGGTAATGTGGGTGTAAGGAAACAGACATTCTCATATTTTCTGGTGGAATGTATATTTGAACAGTTGCAATTCTAATCAGTTCTAAGTACCTTATAAATTATTGCATACCAATTCTATTTCTTGGTATCTACTCCATAAAAATATGCATACACCAGGATGTTCATTGTAGCATTATCGCTAATAGTGAAAAAATCCAAACAACCCAAATCTAGTTATGCCAACAGATTAGCTAAATATGTACATTATAGTCATACTGTTAAACTGATCATTGCAGTTAAAAAGAATACAGTAGCCCAAACCGGTTTGGCTCAGTGGATAGAGCGTCGGCCTGCGGACTGAAAGGTCCCGGGTTCGATTCCGGTCAAGGGCATGTACCTGGGTTGCAGGCACATCCCCAGTAGATGTGCAGGAGGCAGCTGATCGATGTTTCTCTCTCATCAATGTTTCTGACTCTCTCTCTCCCTTCCTCTCTGTAAAAAATCAATAAAATATATTTTAAAAAAAAAGAATACAGTAAATCTCCACGTTTGAACATGGAAAGATCTCCAAGACATAATTGAGTTTAAAAAGGCAAGTTGCAGGAATGATAGAGTATAACATGTTTATGGCAATGAAAAATATATATGCATAATATACATATGTGTGTATACTAGTATATGTGTGTGTGTGTGTGTGTATATACATATATATATATGTATATACACACACACACTTATGTATACACACATACATCACTCTGCCTTTAGGGGGGTTAATTTAATTCATGAACCCTCTGCACCCTTTCCCCACCCCCCCCTCAAGGAAGATCAGTTACTTTATTTTTTAATATCTTTATTGATTTTTAGAGAGAGAGGAAGGCAGAGGGAGAAAGAGAAACATTGATAGGAGAGCTGAACATTAATCAGCTGCCTGCACATACATTTTAAAAACATATTTTTATTGATATCACAGAAGAAGGGATAGGGAGAGAGGGATAGAAACATCAATGATCTGCCTGCTGCACACCCCCCACCAGGGATTGAGCCCGCAACCCAGGCATTTGCCCTGACCAGGAATCAAACCAGCAACCTTTTGGTGTACAAGATGATGTCCAACCAACTGAGCCACACTGGCCAGGGCCAACTTTACTCTTTAGAAGAGATACAGAGAGAGATGCATGAAGAGGTTGAGGGCATGAGGGAAAATTTGAAACTTCAGTAGGCTTCATCTTGGTAGAAATTTCAGGATTCTGACTCTGTTTAGTATTTAGAATGGGTTTAAGTATAACTCTACAAATTGAATGATACCTTTACATGCAGTTCTCAAAAATATGGAAACAATGTTTTTCATTTAGTTTCAGTTATTATTTCTACCATGAGTTCCTTCCATTTATTGAGCTTTGGCAGTAATTTTTAACTTTGAAATCCAGCAGGTTGACTTACCGCTGAAAAAGGCTGACTATCTCATAAAAAGTTCTTATTACAACATATATCAGTGTCCACAGTCTAAGTGCATACATACCTGAGTACAGGGGGTCAGAGTTCTTCTTAATACTATAGAGTGAAAGGTCTGAAATAAAGTCCCGGCTTTAAACTTGTTCATGCACACTCTGCCCAATGGTGGGGCCACAGTCTCCTCTTCTGCTTCTGTGTGCTGTGGGCAGGTTCCATTTTTCACCAACTGATGGAACATAGTATCTGTGTTGTTGTTTCTTTTTAACCAGAATATAAGAAAGTATTTGCTGACTGAAGCCAGAGAAAAAAACAGACCTGAATTTCTTCAGGGTTGGCAGACTGCTGTTACAAAGGTAAGTATGTGATAAATGTGAAAACCCAGGCTTATCAAGGGCATGGAATTATCAAAGAAGTACGAGTCTTTAAAAGCATTTTTAGACTGGTGATGAAGACCCGTGAAGCTCAAAACCTTAGTGTTCATCATCTGGCTGTTGTTTCCCAGTGAAACAAATAAGAACAAATAAGTTGAGTAATTTCATCCCTGGAGCAACTGCTAATGATATGGTTATACTATTTTTATGATGATATAAAAAAAATTTTGGTGGCATCTGCCTTTGCCTCATAGCTTTTATTTCCAGGAGATTCATATAGACCCAGAGAAAAATACTGAAACAACTATTTGGATCGACTAAAGGGAGCAAGTGCACTGAGCTACTTTCCAAGCAGTGGGGGAAGAAAGTGGCCTGGGTGTTCCGGTGTGAGCACAATCCGGAAGCAGCACTGTTTGGCCCATAGACACTTAAAGCTGGCTACGGGGCACAGTGCTAGGGCAGAGCTCTCAGTCCTGTTACATGTACCAGTGTCTTATGGTCACTGCTTTCATGTTTTCAAAGTGTTTTTGCTTGTGTGATCTCATCGGATGATCCTTACAGCTTGTGAGGTAAGGGGTCATTTAGGGATAAGTATCCTCTTTATTCTCTAGATGAGAAAACTGAAGCCTAGGTGTGACCTTCCCCAAAGGCCACCACAGCTGCTGGTAGGACCAGATTCTTGAACTCAGGGCTGTCTGGAACACTGACACGTTATAAAGGCAGGGTTTTGAAACAAACCTTTATAACAAATAGATAAGATTTATTTGTTCATTGTTGAACTGAACCAAGTGCTAAATTTGAAACTTAAGCTTCAGTTTTATGTTTTAAATAACTTAGTATATTAGTTCAAACTGGAATTGAACTTGTAAATTTTCTGAATTTACCCAACTAGAATATGTAGGTATTCTCTTAAATTTAGTCATGACCTTTCATATTCCCACTTTAGACAGGATACAGTAACCAGTTCTTTTGAAAACATATTACTTATCTTTACAATTTCTTTTGAATAGGGCTGAGTTGTGTAATATGAGATGAAAAGTGAAGACTGCTAAGCAGGATTGTTACTGTCTAAGTATTCAGAGTCTGGGCACATGCTCTCTGACCCACAATTCCATTGTCAGTATATTCATAGCGAAACTAATTATCCAAATGCAAGTTTTTTAATAGTATTTTATTTTGTTTCTCATTTCTTATATCTAGGCAAAATATTGTTCTATAAATTGTGGTTCATTGATAGCTTTTTTCATGTCGTCAGATGCCTCCATAACGTCAAACATTTTATTTTTTTATTTAAAAAAAAATACTTTAGCATTTATTTAAGAGAGAGGGGAAAGAGAGAGGCGGGGGGCAGAGAGGCAGAGAGAGGCGATTGGTTGCCTCCTCCAGTATGCACCTCACCCGGAGATTGAACCCACAATCTGGGCATGTGCCATGACCAGGAATTGAACCAGCGACCTTTCGGAGCATGGGATATGCTCAACCAATGGAGCCACACCAGGCAGGGCTAAAATCAAACACTTTAAAAACCAGTGATAAAAAATATTATATATATAAAAAAATAAAAACCAGTGATATACACCAGCTGTCCTGGATAAAGATACATTTCATGTCTCTTGCTTATTTTTTTATAAAAATAAATTTTCTTATCTGAAGAGTATTATTTGGTCTTATTTTAATGATCATTTTGTTTTTCCCCCACAGTGTATTCCACAACAGAAAAATGACAGTGACTGTGGAGTCTTTGTGCTCCAGGTAAAAAAAAAAAACAACACACAAAAAACCTCAGAATTTACAATGTGTGAATTAAATTTGTTGGGTTTAAAGAGGAGAGATGGGAGTCCCCATGATGTGTACATGGTACTAGCTACAGTTAACAGGGTACTTTTCCTTCCTCCCTTTCTTGTTAAGAAGCAGTAGTTTCTGTATTTTCAGATGTTATCATTAGGAAGAACCATCTTTGAAGGCCAAGAATGAGTAATTGCTAACATACATGTCTTATCAGAGATTAGTAGTGAGCCACATTGGACACTGATCTGAATTTGTCCATATCATGGACCCTTGGCATTTGAAGAATTAACTATTTATTTTTAACCATTGGCAAGTGGTCTATAGCTGTGCTTTCTCATACTGTAGGTTCCCTTAGTGATCAAAAGGCTATTGGAAATTTTGTTATACATTATATATGTGAAGGAAATTATGGTATACCATCCATGAATTTCGAGAACTGCAAAGATCTGGGAAGATGGGCTCATTCCTATGACGCATGAATGTCTGGGGTTTGAAAAATTCAAGTTCTCAGTTATAGGCCATGTGAGGTCTAGTTGTACCTTGAGAAGAAATGGAGCCTCTTGTCAGTTTCCCTTTTCATAGCATTAAGTGGGGACGGGGGGACATCCCAGGCCATGTACTTATATGGAAGGTTAACTATAATTTGGAGGTAAATGTTTTAAAACAATGCTTTATAACAAGCTTAAACGAATTTTAAAATGCTGCCTTAGACTATTTATTAGGTCTGCATCTGATAAAATACACTGGGCTGGTACATAACTCCACAGGCCATTTAATGTTTCCGGGTCCTTTGCAGTACTGCAAGTGCCTCGCCTTAGATCAGCCTTTCCAGTTTTCCCAAGAAGACATGCCCCGAGTACGGAAGAGGATTTACAAGGAGTTGTGTGAATGCCGGCTCATGGACTAAAACCCAGCAAGGCTGGGAAGTCTGATCAAGTTGGAGCAGATGGTTTGTTACTTGAATCTCCAAACACTTATTTGAATTCTAACAGATATTTCAGATTGGTGGTATTGGGCCACTATTGTTACCTCAAGTTTATTTTTAGCCCTTATTCATTTCTCTAACTACAATGTACTATTTTTTAATGTTCAGATTGGTTTCAGTTTTAACTTTATGAATTCCACATGTTCTCCCCACCCCATATTTAATATTTATTATCCAAACGCATGCATATAGACAGAGCATGCAGTGCAGAGTATTAAAAAAAAAAACACAAAAAAAACCTAGATTTGGTACAGCTTTTGAAACTTAGATATGAACTGAATACAGGTTTCGAATATAATCCCAAAAACCTAAAAAATACGGGATGTTTTTGATACAACATAACTCTGAGAGTATGAGGTATTCCCTGGGCATAGAGGATAGCTAGTTGTTTTGACAAAGCCAGTCCTGTCTTACTTTTACCAGCAGTACCTTTCACGGACTTTCCTCTCTGAGTCTGGGAACGTGCGTTGCATTCCTTTTGAAGGGTAAGAAGGAAGTGGCCAAAAACTAACTGGCATGTTCTCTTCCTGGAGGCACATGTGAGAAGAATTATAATAAATGCCTAAGTCTTATAAAGGCTTTTGCTGGAACATTGAATTCCCTGGATTTTTGTTTTTGACCCATTAAAAAACTTATTATCTAAAACAAGTGGTCAAACAAATGAGAATTCAGCCTAAGAGTAATTTACAAGTTGACACTTCCCTTTATTACCTCCCATAAGAAATTAGGATTTGCCAAATACCTTTCTATTTCAAGGGTATTTAAAATATAAACATTCAAAACTAAAGACTGGCTTCAGGTCTTTTTCAGGTGGGTGCAGGAAGAGGAACAGTTAATAGATCCCCCCCCCCCCCCCCCCCCCCCCTTAGCTCTTTAGTGATCTCAGCAACATGCAGGGCTCCTCATTTGGCTTCTGCTTGATCAAGGAGTCCTCTTTTATTTGGCTTCTATGAACCTCATCTTCTGGAGAAAGGCAGAAGTGGCCCTGTTCTTACACTTGGCTGCGTTAGGGTTAATGTAATGGATCTTGCATCTTCAGTCTAGCTATTTGTGGCATTTGAAAGGAAATAAAAGGATGCATGTTAAACTACCCAATTATCCGTCTGAACTGGGCAGGAAAAACAACAGATACATATGTAAGAAACTTAGAAGTTTGTACAGAAAAATACCAAGAAAATGGCAGAAGACACTTGGGATCTATGCCTAGTTAGGTGTTGAAAATAAAAAGCTAAAATGTGCAGTTTAACTTGGCCATAAGGTAGGACTGACTGCCAGCAGCTGCGGGTGGAGTCAGACATGTTTACAGGCAGGGTTCCCTCCCCAGACAGACCAGGCACCAACACCAGTGTTTACAGTGCAAACAGCCTCAGCACTTTCCTAAGTCCCCCAAGACTCAAATTCTTTAGTATAAAACCAGGTCAGTATTTCTTATTGTGCTTCAAGTCTTTAAAAAGACTAAGATTAGAGGCACTTTATGCTGCTATAGATAGGGTTGTGTCTGCATTAGAAAAATTACAATTTAAAATGGGGAGGACTTCTTGAGATTTTCAGTTTTCAGACATAAAATATGCAAAATGAGATTTTTCAAATTTGTGATACATTTACCTAACTTTTTTGGTAGCTCTACAAAGTAGCCAATAACTAGGCTATTGACTCAAAACATCTTATATTTTAGAGCTCCATATCTCACTTCCTTACTGACAGAATTCGGCATGAAGCATCTTAATTAGTGCCCAAAGCCTGAGTTGCCATTTCCTCCAATCTGAGAAACTCATCATCTCCACATTGAGGCTTGCAGGGATGTTCATAGAGAACCTAAAGTGAGCTGTCCAAGTCATTTCTCATTCACTTCCAGCTTTATGGCACACCTTGAGATGCATTGCTCAGCATGCTTTAGCGTAAATTATATTTTAAGTCTGATTAAGATGTTTCTCTGCATTCATGAAACTTGGTTTTATCACATATAGTCACTTGTTCTCCACTTGTGATTAGTTATAAACCTCTAGGCCAAGTCCTGCATTAGAATGGCCTTTTTTTCTTGATGTTTGCAATAATTGCTTCCTGGCAACAAAGACATGTTTGAAATACAGTTTAGGCTGTTGGTGGAAGGGATAGACATTGTTTTACTGTCACTAACTTGGCCTTGAAATGTTGCCCACAAGGTGGGTAGACCTTATGCTTTTGGGGTTTGATTGCAGGCCTTGTACAAACTAAAAGCTACTCATGATGCGTCTTCAACAAGCTGCCCAGTTTTCTCCATCAGCAAACTTACCAGTCTGTAGCTGCTGCTTTCCAATGGTTTTTTTTTTTGTTGTTAAATGTATAGCAATGAACGTAGATTTAATTCTTTTAGTTAAGCTCTCGCAAGAATTGTAGAGAACAAACCTCTTAAGGAAAGGAACCTCCTACAGGAAAAAGCACTTGCTCCTCAGAGTCCCCAAATCCCTTTTGTGGCTTTGCATTGTATTTTCTATTTGTCATTAAATACGAGTAACATTGGTCACCTTGAATTCATAGTTGGAAAACAAGAACAGCCAGCACTAGTCTAAGTTAAGCTGCCCTTTCTCTGCAATTAATTGTGGTTCACTGGTTTAAGAAAGATAACTGGGAGTTCGGGTGGATCAGAACCATCAGGTGAGAAAGTGTATTAATAGTGTGGATTAGATATATTGACTACCTGCTCTGCTTACTGATGTTAAGAAACCAAACTAATCTGTAATTATAAAGCACATACTTTATGTGCTGGGCTCTGCCTCCTGGCCAGTAGACAATTAAGAAGGCCTAGGGAATACCATCAGAGAAGTGCTAATTGTATTGGGGTATTACAAAAGCAGACCTAGACAAGCTGTTCATTTAAGTCGTACCTTTTGGTCAGAAAAAATTTATTTAAAGGTTGTGATCATGTAAAATGACTCAAACCTTCTAGCAAAAATATTTTTTTGAAAAATAAACAAAATGCCTTTATAAATATGTGTGCTCTTGTATTGAATAACATGTACTGTTTGGTGAGTAGGAATTTTTCCAAGTGACATTTCAGTCGTGACGGCACTCATTTATGAATATGACCAATGTAGGCTCCAAGCAGCCTGTCCTTAAAAAGACTGTCCAACAGAACTGTCTGCAGTGATGGGATCTACATATATGAGGCTAATATGCAGAGTGTCCCCTTGGGAGTTCAACCAGAGACTGGGAGTTTGCTTGCTATGATGAGTGCTGACCACCAGGGGTTGGCGCGGAACAAAGGAAGGCCCTGGCCAGCAGTCAGCAGCCGGAAGGCAGTCCCCAATCTGCCCTGATGACTGGCCAGGCCTAGGGACCCTACCCATGCATGAATTTCATGCATTGTGTCTCTAGTGTTCTATTTTTGCATCCACTACAGCAGCCACTAGCCACATGTGGCTGCTGAGCATTTGAAATGTGGCTAGTGTGAATGAGGAACTGAATGTTTTAATTTAATTAGCTACATGTGGCTAGTGACTACCATACTAGATAACTGTCATAGCAAAATGGGCATACAAATTCTGCACATTATTCGTAGATTTCTCCCCCAAACGTAATCATAAATATTCCAGAGTAAGATGGTTCCACTGTCCCTCTTTATAGGTGAGGAAATGGGCACAGACAAGGATAAGTTGGTCCAATTTATTGAAATCTGTTACAGAAGTCACAATTCCATGTAGAACCACTGTCTGTGGTTTTAAGGTCTGTAGAAATCTGAGTTATGTTTTACTAAAAAAAGAATATAAAATACATTAAACTCAAACTATAGTGTAAAAAGAAATTTAAAAAGTCAATAGTATGTCCTCATAAAATTAAAATATCTGCAAATGTTTTTTTCTTAAGCATTTACAAGAAGTTATAGCTCTTATAAAAATTCAAATAACCGGTTTCAATGTTATGAGAAAACCTATACTTACCTAGTGTCAAAGATGTTCACATTTGAGATACTTCAGCCCACAAACTACAAGAAGTTTGGAGATACTTTGTTGCTAGATGAAAAAATGCCACTTATGTCAGGAAAAATTATACCAGATTAGCAGTTTTAAATGATTAATAGAGACAACCAAAGTGTCCTGCGATAGGGGATTGGATAAAAAAGATGTGGTACATACACACAATGGAATACTACTCAGCCATTAAAAAAAAAATACTGCCATTTGTGACAACACAGATGGATCTAGAGAGTATTATGCTAAGTGCAGTAAGCCAGTCAGAAAAAGCTAAGAACCATATGGTTTCACTCATGTGTGGGATATACAACTGAAACTTATAGACACAAATAGCAGTGTAGTGGTTGCCAAAGGGAATGGGTAGGTGGGGATGAAGGGTACCTAATATATGGTGACAGAAGATTTGACTTTGGGAGGCGGGCACACAATACAATATATAGATCTTGTATCCTAGAAATCTACACCTGAAACCTCTATGATCCTATTAAACAATGTCACCCCAATAAATTAAAAAAGAACAAGAGTTCAACATATTAAAGAGAATCGCTTCTTGCCTTACAAATGCAAATTAAATTCTCTAGACTCCTCTGTGGAGACTGTTGCTATCGAGGCTCTGAAACTCAGTAAACACAATTAGTAAAAAAACAAGACAGACTTCAACATGACAATTGGCCAAAACATATTTCCTGAGGAAAGCATTTCTGATCGTTTTTCATTAGGCAGCCTCTCAATCTTCAAGCTTTTTTTTAGACCTACTCTATTCCCAAGATCACTCTGAAAACGAAAACAATAAATCTGATGGCCCTCACAGCAACCTTCAACATGTCAAGACAATGTTTTAACTAGTGTCCTCTGACATTTCATCCCATTTCCTACTGGCAATGTCCCCCACTTCCGTTAGAGTATTTGAGGTTCTTCATAATACAAACCAACCCTGGCTTTTTTTAGCTTTAGGTAAAACACACCTTTTAAAAAATATGCTTAGTAAATACCCTTCAAGTCCTGTACCTAATTTCCTGACACATAAAGCATGTGAGCAGGTTGTACACCCTGGGACTAAGGCTTACTTTTGCACCAACTCTTTAGGAAGTTCTCTTGACTCCCTAAGTTTGCCTTTAGAGATCAGCATTCAACATAGGGAAAAATTCAGTTGTCTGTTCCTAATTTAGAGCAAAGATATGAATGTAACAAAACTCCTTTTATTAAACTTTATCTCAAGGCAACTAAAAAATTTTTTAGATAATTACAGGCCCCAATGTGTAGACCATGAACCTGCTTACACACAAACACGGTAAACAAAATTGTAAACTTTTCCCAATTTTCCTAAAAGACGTGTGGTGTTTTTGGCTGATAAATCAATATTATAGATAAACTCCGTTGCCAAGGAACACGATTTTTGACCTGGTAAGAAAATCATTCCAGTAACCTTACACATGCCCAATATTCTAAGACTAGAATTAAAGGCATTCTTTTGGATTCTGTCCTTTAATAAATTTTCAGAGGAAAGCCATGAAGTGGTGTCTGGCTCAGTAGAGACATTGATCAAATATTTGTAAAAATGGCAGGTTTGCAGACCTTAGGTAATGTACATCAAATTCAGCCGGCCAAAGGAGTGAGTTTTTCATGATGGTTTTTGCTCACTGGTTTTGGGCCAGTTTTCCGTAGCCTCCTCTCCCAGCATCATAGTCTTGTCGATACTCATCTCGTACCTTAATGAAAAGAACACAGGTTACAATATCGAGAAGACTGGTGTAACAAATATGCCTCCCATAAATATGTCAGACAGCCAAGCCTTTTCAGATATAACGTGAATGAACATTCAA